GTGCTTATAAGGTGAATTTAGGCTCCACCTAACCCCCTACAACATTGATGCTAAAAATTTAGGACACAAGTCAAGACAGGCCAGATTAGAGCAGATTTGGGTAAAAGGCAGAAAACAGTGAGCTAAAGCCAAGTATGAAACCACCACACTACTGCATGTCTGAACATTTGCTCTAAGTAACCCTCAAAATAACTGGGATATGGGGAACCAACTCAAAGATGAACATACTAGAAGAAACACAATTCACAGTTTGCCAGAATTCCAATGAGACCTAGTCCAAAATAAGTGGGAAAATGTTTTGTAGGTTGTCATAAAGAAAATGCTAAATAGTACACAATACAATGCTTTCCATACCTTTAAAGTAACTACAAGTATAACCAAACTGCTTTTAGAAACACCTTAAAGTCCAAGTGAGCACCCCCATGATGGACTCTAGAGAATATGGCCTAGAAGTGGCTTCCCAGGCTGAAGCACAGGCCTTACACTCTTCAGAAAGCTGAAGGCTGCTACATGTTGACATAAGTCTTAGGTAACTGGAAAGTAAAAACATTGTCTCCCTAGTCCTGAACCAGCAGCACTGTATAAGCTCAGTTTTTGAGGTGTGTCCTCCAGTGAGCCAAGCTGCCATAGGCAGATATCCTCTTGGACCTAAAACAAGATGACATGACCTTTACAGCAGAATTTGCAGGGCCTGATAGTGTCCTGGTAACCCCACTGCACAGTTTATAATGAAGATGAGTAAAGGAATGGTAAGGGTCAGATAGAAAAATGCAATGGGAAAGAGAATATTGAATTTACTTTTATCTTGAAGGAAGATGTGAAGACACTGAGGACATCTAAGCAGTTCCTTTGTATTGGGCTATCTAAATCATACTCATGGAGATACTCATTGTAAAGGGGATGAAGAAACAGAGCCCTACGAGGTCATTAGAACAACATTCTGAGTTGATAAATAAATAAAATGATTTGTGCTTCCCAGGTGATGGATTGTGGGGATGAAAAGGAAAGTGAGATACTTTGAAGAAAAATATAAGAAAAGATGATTAGTTAAAGCATAAAACCAAGAAAAATCAATGGTAAAGGCCAAAGATGACCTTACTAAAACATAATTTAGAGGGGGGAGAGAACATGAGGGATCAGGAAGATCGAGTTGGGGGAAGAACAGAGAAGGAGAGCAAAGAAAGAGATACCTTAATAGAGGGAGCTATTATGGGCTTAACGAGAAGCCTGGCACTAAGGAAATTCCCAGGAATCAACAAGGATGACCCCAACTAAGAATCTAAGCAATAGTCGAGAGGCTACCTTAAATGACCTTCCCCAATAATAATGATGACTGACTACCTTAAATGCCCTCATAGAGCCTTCATCCAGTAGCTGATGGAAGCAGAAGCAGAGATCCACAGCTAAACACTGATTCAAACTCCTGGAATCCAGTCTTAGAGAGGGAGGAGTGATGAGCAAAGGGGTAAAGACCATGCTGGGGAAACCCACAGAAACAGCTGACCTGACCAAGTGAGAACACATGGACCCCAGTCTGACAGCTGGGGAACCAGCATAAGACCAAACCAGGCCCCCTGAACATGGGTGTCAGTTGAGGGGCTTGGGCAGTCTATGGGGCCTCTGGCAGTGGAACCAGTATTTATCCCTAGTGCATGAATGGGCTTTGGGAGCCCATTCCCTAAGGAGGAATACTCTCTCAGCCTACAAACACAGGGGAGGGCCTAGGTCCTGCCCCAAATGATGGTCCCCCATGGGAGGCCTCACCCTCCCTGGGGAGTGGGCAGGAGGTGAGATATGGGGATGGGGGGAATGGGAGGGGTGGGAGAGGGAACTGGGATTGGTATGTAAAATAAGATTTTTTGTTTGTTTGTTTGTTTGTTTGAGACAGGGTTTCTCTGTGTAGCTCTGGAGCCTATCATGGCACTCTGTAGACCAGGCTGGACTCAAACTCACAGAGATCCACCTGCCTCTGCCTCCCGAGTTCTGGGATTAAAGGTGTGTACCACCAACACCCGGCTAAGATTGTTTTTAATTTAAATAAAAATTAATTTTAAAAAAGAACAAACTACATATGAAAACACCATATTTATTCATCATTCTGTATATTGTTGTTATTGTTTTGATTTTTTGAAACAGGCTCTTTCTACATAGACCTGGCTGCTTGGGACTCACTATGCAGACCATGGTGGCCTCAAATTCAGAGACCTGCCTGCCTCTGCCTCCTGAGTGCTGGAATTAAAGGTATGTGCCACTAAGCCTGGCTGTAACCTATCACATTGCTCATTGGCCTTCTGGCTAAGATTAACTATAAAGTGAAACAAATAAAGTCTCTTATGCAAAGCTCTTCCTTACCTATAATCCCAGGAGCCTGTGTCCCTATAACCCCCTCATCCTACATCCCTCCAATGTACTCAAGATTCACTTCTTCCTTGACCATGAGAACAGGGGCCCTAATTAAGGTCTTGTTTCTTAGCATCCATGTATTTGGATCATTTGTCTCTCCATTTTTCTTTTTACTATCATAAAAAAGTAAGCAAAGCTAAGCTATTCTCTTCCACCGGACCTTTTTTTTTTTAACTAACATTTGTGGTTAGGAAGTAATTTAACTATCTTAATGTTATCTTAATATAAAATGACACCTACAGGACATGTACATGAGGAGATCTGAGGATTACAGAGCCTTCAGAATTGTAGCCCTCCCCACACCTAGAGCAAGAGTAAACTATTCTTGTTACACCCTAAAATCACAGTACCTCATTTCTTGCTATATAGCTGAAGCTGGCCTCGAACTTATGTTCCTCCTCCTTTCAACCCACAAGTGCTAAGATTACAGGTCACAAATTTAAAAATATATATCCAATGACATATCTTAAAACTGAAAACAATCCAGGTGTGGTGGTGCACACCTTCAATCCCAGAGCTATGAAAGCAGAGGCAGGAAGATTATGAGTTCCCCAACCTGAACTATATAGTGAGACTCTTACTCAGATAGCCAAGAGCTGGGAATATAGGTCAAGGGTAAGAGTGTGTGCTTGCTGGGCTGGAGAGATGGCTCAGTGGTTAAGAGTGTGTGCTTGCTGGCATGTACAGGTCGAGAGGTGGATCCCCAGAACAATACCCACTGACACACAAGCCCTAAAGGAATCATTACAGTGTTCCAAATCCAGAGGACCTACGTGTGTCTCATTCAGAGTCTCCCACGTATTATCCATCTACCCACAGGCAAAGTGCTAGAATAGCTTTGAACCTGTTCTACTACTTGTAAATATTAACTACTGAATGCTGTATGTGCCAGGTACTTTGCCACACACATTATACGCATTTTTTCATATAGCTCTGAAATCCTGCATAGAAAAGGTTACTTTCTTAATGTTACTAATAAGGAAATTGTGTCTCGGAGGAAGTGAGTAACATGCAGACACCGCTAAGCTGGTGAGGAGCAGAGTCACACTCTCAATCTGGGATGACTTCTGCCAAATACTTTTCAGACTTCTTTATTTAAACTTTTGTTTTTTTTCAGGCAGATCTATGGTGGTCTGAAAGAAAATGGACCCCAAAGGGAGTGGCACTATTAGGAGGTGTGGTCTTGTTGGAGGAACTGTGTTACTGGGGGTGGGCTTTAAGGTCTTTTTCTCAAACTCCACTCAGTGTGACAGTCAGTTGACTTTCTGTAGCACTCTCAGCTCCAGCACCACGTCTTCCTGCCTGCATGCCATCATGCTCCCCATCATGATGGTAATGGACTGAACCTCTGAAACTGTATGTCACCAATCCAATTAAATGTTTTCTTTTAAAAAGTTGCCGTGGTCATGGTACCTCTTCACAGCAATGGAAAACTTACTGTATAGCTCTGGCTAGCTCTGGCTGGCCTTTAACTCATCTCCCCAACTCTGTCTCCTGAGTGCCACCAGACTCTGCTGGATTCTGTTTGTGTGCATGAAAGTAAGTGTGTGGGGGGGGGAGGGGGTGCACATGCCTGTGAGTGCCCACAGAGTCCAGAAGACATAGAATTCCCTGGAGCTAGAGTTACAGGAAGTTATCAGTGGGGAACCAAACTTCAGTCCTCTGGCAGCAAGCATGCTTGATTGGTTACCACTGCTTCCCTCAGAAGACTAATAGGAAGGTTACACAGATAATGTGTGTGAACATGCTCTGTAAAATGGTAACCAGCTATCTAATTCAATTGGAACTGAGGGGTGAAAAAAATATAAACATGTAGTTCAATCATCTACAAGGTCAGGCTCATGAGTAACACTTAAAATATCCTTATGTACACATAGAATTTCCAGTTTTTGGCTACCATCACTATTACTTAGGATATATCATTTGTTTACTGTTCTAAAGAGAAAGGTCTATACTGCCCAGGTTGGTTTCATATTCCTGGGCTCATGCCACCCTCCTACCTCAGGCTCCTGAGTAGCTGGGAGTATAGTAGAAACCTCTGTACCCTACTTAGTATAAATATATTTCACATAAAGTAAATATTCATTATCAGAGTCACCTGTAATTTCAAAAGAAGAGATTTTTAAACAGTGGAAAATCTCAAATCAGACAACTATTTGTAAGGCAGACTTATTCATCCATCCTCATAGTCTAAGAGATTGCGCTTAAAAAATACACATTTTAAAAGGGAATGGGTTTGGGAGTTTTTGTTTTGTTTCGTTTTTTGAGAAAAGGGAGAATAAAGAACTCTAGCGCTGCAGCATCTGGCACACATGTCTGAATCTTTACTCTGATTTCTAAGACTAACTTCAAAATGTTCAGTTTCCTAATTTGGAAGTGGATAACTGTAACAACCGTCTACATTGTCATGTAATTTCAAAAGCCCTCACCTCACTTCTATTTGTTTATCACCTTTTAAGGTAAAGGTCGTGTGGAGTTTTCCCTTCAATGGAAGATAGCTTGTAAAGTAACATACCCATTTTACAGCCACACAGAACAGGTCTGTTCACTGCATAAAATGTAGAAACATTATCACTTTAAACAACTATAAGCATTACCTGGTGTAATTGCATAGACATCAAAATTGTTTATTCCTTCTTCCTTTAAGATATTTTCATCAATAATAAAGTTGCCAGTAAAACTTTTCGGCCTTTTGAAAATGGAATATGCAGCATCCGCAATAATGTCAGCTTTTCTACATTGGCTTTCAACACCAGATCCTCCAAGCATATCCATAGCAGCAGTATGTATGGCTGTGGAGAAAACATGTACACACATGACTCTATATCAAAGAAGGCTATGGAAATAACAAACCAGTACCACTACTGAAAATTGCCACAGCAAATTTCTCTCTCTGATGATGAATAAGGCCTAGCTAAGGATTTACTAAACGTTCTATAGACAAAGGAGACAAAGAATCTAACACATTCCTTACTCAACATAGAACCAGGGAGACAAATAAGCAAATATATCCATTACTCAACACAAACTGCATGTGCAAAAATCCCTCATGAGAAGCACAGCAAACCTCCTTAGAGTTCTAATTTAGAATGTTCAAGAATTTGTATAGCAGTCTTGAGAGTTTAAAAACCCAGTAAGGGCTGACAAAAAGGCACTTTATTATATGAAAGATAGGTGAGTGAGATTTTTATATGGACTGGGCCATGGCTTTTGGCAAGCTACTGCAACCCTTTGGACCTTAGCTTACTCTCTCTAAAATATGAAGCTCCCTTCCCAATGTTTTTGTCTCTGCCCTCTGCATTAGAAAACATGGTCTATATTTCTATATTGCTACCGGTGTCTAAAACAATGACAATGCTGGAGGTGACCCTCCTCTCTGCTGCCATTACCAAATCAGTAGCAAATGGCAGCCCCCACCTGCATAAAATCTGCTCCAAAGTGGACTTTCCTGTTCCCACCACTCCAGTCCAGAACAGCCAAGAATTAGGAGGTAGCCACTCCCTCTACTCAGCAGAAACTACGAAAAGATATCTTGTAAGAAGAAAAAGAAAATCACAATCCTAGAAACAACCTAGCTGAGAGCCTGAGATCCTCTTTCATGCAAATGCTAGAACTCCCTGTCCCCAATCCCTTCTCTGTACATGCTAAATTCATAAGCGGCAAAGTATTACAGCCAGAAGGGCACAGCTGCCAGTGTGGAGAAGCAGAGCTGAGCCCAGCCAAGGCCAGCAGGCAGCTAGGACACTGCTCTGTTATACCTGGTATTCACTCCACTAAGTAGGATGAATCCCCATTTCCTTGAAAGATACTCAGAGGGAGGTTACTCCTGGTTCCAATTACATAGTCTTTACACAAGGGAATGTGTTTTTAAAAAAAAATAGACACCTCACCTCAAGCCTGGAGCATAGCTGCCCTCCTGAATCTACTTTCATTTCTCCTCACTTATGAATAATACAGTAGTCTAGCTAACTGTCCCACCTCCTCTCTATAATTCACCCACATGTCAGACTAAATGTCCTACAGAAACACTGTATGACTTCACTGCTCCTATTTCCTCCTCTACTTATTATCTCTCCTTTTAAAAATCTATCTAATAGTTCTCTTCTGAATAGCTTGAAATTCAAGCTGCCTAGCTAGGGAAAGAACTCTATTAACAGAGTATTTTCCTAGCATATGTGAGGCCTGTGTTCAATCCTCTGCACCAAAAAGTGAGAAAAAAATCCAGTTGCCTAAGTTGACATACTAGACTGAAGTCTAGTTCACCCATTCCCACCCCCTCCACCCAGCATTCATTCCAGTGAACCTGAAGTACTGCAGGTGTTCAAATGCCATGGGAAATGACAGCCCACAACCCATTATACATACACCCTCCCCCAGTCTCCAGGCAGTCTAGTATACACACAGGTTTCCCATGCTTCATGCAATTGCCTGTTGTTCCTGCTGTCCATGAATGTCTCCAACATCCCCTGGAGACCATATTTCAATTTATACCTCCATTTGAAATTCTCTTAACTCTTTAACATGGGCTACAAGGCCCTCCTGTGTTTCAAAAGCACTCTATATGTAATTTCTCATATCATTCATTACAAGGAACACAACTGTAAATTCATTATATGTTATCATGTCTAGGGCCTAATGATACCACTGGCTCCAAAGTGTCTAGTAAACCACCTAAAACAAATACCTCAGAGCTAAAGGAAAGACCTCAGCAGATCCTTTCAATCCTGATAATACCCTCCATCCTTCCTGTTGCACACTGTCTACCTATTACATAAGCCTCATACAGAATGCCTACTCTAGAGCTAGCAGAAGGCAGGCATGCTGCACACTCTTTCATACACTTACTATTTGTCAATATTCACTGAAATCTGGGGATAGAGAGATGGCTCGGTGATTTAAATCACTGGCTGTTCTTTCTGAAGTCCTGAGTTCAATTCCCACATAGTGGCCCACAACCATCTATAACTGTAGTCTCCTGGGATCCAATGCACTTTCTGATATGCAGATGTACATGCAGACAAAACACCCATATGCATAAAATAAATAAATAAATAAATCTTCAAAAAACTTCACTGGAATCTATAATGACTATAAGCAGGAGGGCCTTATAGCCCACGTTTAAAGAGTTAAGAGTTTCAAATGGAGGTATAAATTGAAATATGATGTCCAGGAAAAGTTGAAGTTAGCAGGAAGGAAACTAGGCAATATGATGGACTGTTGTGGGATATTTGTACACTGTGTGAGGATGTATTGCTGTGATTGGTGTGGTAGAAAGCTGAATGGCCAATAGCTAGACAGAAGGTATAGGAAGGACTTCCATGCAGAGAGAGAACTCTGGGAAGAAGACAGAGTCACCTGCCAGACACAGAGGAAGCAGGACAGACAGTACGGAGAGATGAGGTAACAAAACTCATGTAACAGAATGTAGATTAAGAAATATGTATTAATTTAAATTAAACTTTTTAGGAACAAGCTAAGCGAAGGCTGATCTTTCATAAATAATAAGTCTCCATGTTATTATTTGTGAACTGGCAGTCACAACAAGCAACTACTACTATATTTGGCACCCAATATGGGGCATGTAAATTCACATAAGGCCTAAGAAAGCTTTCTGGTGACCTTGGTCTCTTGGGTAGGCTCACTGCTCATGGGTACAGAGATGTGGCTCCTTTAAAAGCTCCTGCTGTGTAGCTGAGCACTTGAGTAGCTGGCACTGGGTACAAACACCTACCACAGGTGAACACAACAAATTCTCAGAGGTAGGGTAGGTAAATGTGGCTCCCACCAGTACCTGCTGGCATAAGGCTAGGCTCTCAGGGAATGGAGGTGGGCAGAGCCAGCTGCCAGAGGGCAGAAGGTGGAGGACCTAACCATACCTAACAGTTTCAGATTTGTCTCACAGAGTCAGAGAACAGACAGATGCTGAGTAAAGCCAGGTCCAGACACAGAAAACGTTTAATAAGGTACAGTATGTTTAAAAATGTGCTTATATGTTTAAGAAAATAGGGATAGTCATAGAAAAATAGTTTAAAAATAATCAAGTGAGCCGGGCGGTGGTGGCGCACGCCTTTAATCCCAGCACTTGGGAGGCAGAGGCAGGCAGATCTCTGTGAGTTCGAGACCAGCCTGGTCTACAAGAGCTAGTTCCAGGACAGCCTCCAAAGCCTCTGAGAAACCCTGTCTCAAAAAACCAAAAAAGAAAAAAGAAAAAAAAAATAATCAAGTGAAGTCTTTAAAGAGAAAGTAAAGTAATATAAGAAGAAAAAGCCATGTAAAGATAAGAAATACACAGGATGTCTAGATCCTGAATGGTGCTTTGTTGACTAAATTTTAAATGCTAATGAACAAAAACAACAATTGATGGGGGAATGTTCTTCTGTATATATGTTTCTCTTATTGGTTGATGAATAAAACATTGATTGGCAAGTAGAGGCAGGAAGATAGTTGGGGCTAGGAGATGAGAATACTGGGGAGAGAAGCAGAGAGGCCACGAGACACGCACTGCTGAAGGAGTAACATGCTGGATTACAGGTTAGCCACAGCCTTGTGGCAATACATAGATTAATAAAAATGGGTTAATAATTAAGACAGAGCTAGTCAATAAGAAACCCTAACCATCGGCCAACAGTTTCATAATTAATATGCCTCTGTGTGCCTGTTTGGAGTTGAAGGGCTGCAGGACCAGGTAGGGCAGAAACTCCCGTCTTCAAACAATAGCTTCTGAGAGACCTTGGATTATGGAAACTGTTAAATTAAACCAATCTATATATTTTAAGGATGTCTTAACTTTAAAATGGAAGTCAGGAGCCAGGTGGTGGTGGCGCATGCCTTTAATCCCACAGCACTCAGGAGGCAGAGGCAGGTGGATCTCTGCGAGTTCGAGCCCAGCCTCGTCTACAAGAGCTAGTTCCAGGACAGCCTCCAAAGCCACAGAGAAACCCTGCCTTAAAAAAAAATGGAAGTCAGGAAATGTGTTGCATTGGGGGAGAGGTTTTGCTTTTGTTTCCATAGGAAACAAAATGCTATGGATTTCTTCAAAATTAATAAAAACTAGATTCGATTGGGGGAGACCAACAAAAATCTTAGCTACAGACATGAAGGGAGAAAAAAAACAAGAAAAACTACAAAGCAGGTGATGTATAAGCTGATCTCTTGACATAGGAACAGCTCACTAAATGATACATGATAAAATCTTGATGGCTACAGAGTCCTCATGACTTAACATTACATGCCATCCGTTCGTATGACACAGATTAGGGATTTGGTTAAGCAGTTCAAACAGATGACATATGCCTTTTACCTGCTCAAACATAAAATAAAAAAAAACATCTTTAGTGGACTTGTACACACTGTACATTCCATACTTATATTAATGCAGATATATGTGTTACCTTTAAAAGTTTATGTTTTCAGAAAAAAGGACCACACACCAATGAAAACAAGTAGTCCCAGTGATCCAACCTCTCAGAATGTCTCTGTTACAGTTTCCTCAAAATTCTGCATCCAGAACAACTTCAAAGCTTTAGCTAAGATGGTCCAGCCTCACAGACTACTCCAGCCAAGACTTCAGATAAGATCTACACTTTCCCATCACGCAGAAACTAAACAAAAAATAGCACAGCTAGCTCTCCCAGGGCTTGACCATTGTCCCAATTTTCTCTGGTTCCCCTAGAGATGCTGTCACCCCACAACAGGAAGAAGCCTAGAAAACATGATGCCCACATTCCCAAGAGGTAGTGGATGGTTTTTGGTCTTTCAAAATGCAAGTTGTTGTTGGTCATAGTCAAGGAAAAAGCTGAGTAAAAGAGACTAGATTCAGGAATCTCATTCTGAGAAGAAACGGGGATATAGAAATGACAGGATAAAAGGGTAGATTATTAAATACATTTTAAACTAAAGGGCAACTACTAATCTGTCATGTGGCTTGTTATCTCATCTCTCTGTGTCTGGCAGGTGACTGTGCCTTCTTCCCAGAGTTTTCTCTCTGCACAGAAGTTCTGCCTATACCTCCTTCCTAGTTATTGGCCATTCAGCTTTTTATTACACCAATCACAGCAATACAACTTCACACAGTCTTGTAGTCATCACTGATGCTTCCTTATCTCTCTTATACCACAGCCAATCCAACAGTAGATCCTGATAACACTACCTTCAGATTACCTCAACACTAGACTTCCCTCCTTTACTGACACCATGCTGGTCACAGCATCACTATGTTATGTTATTTCAGTAACCTCCAAAAGGTTTCTCCTTTTGCTCCCTCAGAATCCAGCCTCAACACTCATTTCACTCAATAAAATCTTCAGTTTGGCCTCCATTTGCTCATCGATATCAGACCATCATTTTCTACTACTCTTGCCTCACTTTAGCTACAGTGGTGTTCCCCCTGATCATGGATACTGATACAAGGCATTTCCATCCACAGGATCTTTATTTATTTTAGGTTGTTTTTGTTGTTGTTTGTTTGTTATTTATTTATTTATTTATTTTGAGACAGGGTTTCTCTGCACTTTAGAGCCTGTCCTGGAACTCACTCTGTAGACCAGACTAGCCTCAAACTCACAGAGATCTGACTGTCTCTGCCTTCTGAATGCTAAAATTAAAGGAATGTGCCACCACCACCCAGCCTCCACAGGATCTTTGTATTGGCTGTACCCTTGAACATTTTGCTCTCAGCCATAAGGCTAACTTCATCACTTCCAAATCTTTGCTCAGAACCCACATTCTCAAAAAGGCAAAACCTTTCTACACTATTAAGTAAAACCTGGCTGGCTGCCTCCCAGTACCCAGAGACAGAGGTAGGTGATTTGAAGGTCAGCCTGGTCTAACATAATGAATTCTAGGAAAGCCAGAGCTATCTAATAGAGACACTCTGTCTCAAAAAAGTAAATGAATAAATAAAAGTTAAAACCTTCTCTCTTCAGAGCCAGAGACACCGAATTTTGCTTTATTTTTACAAACATTATTACCTTCTGGTACATTAACTATAAATCCCCATGTTCAGGTGATTCTTCTGCCACAGCCTCCAGAATATCTGGGACTACAGCCATGTATATATGCCTAACTGCAACTACCACTTCTTTAATTAGTCCTTCAATCTGAAAGATCTAAGAGAATTTGCTGAAACCATTTCTGTTGGCTTTCATGAGACTCTCTGTATGTTTTAGCAATATGCTGGCATCATAACTGCTGGCTAAAGCGTCAGCCACTTAGTCCAAGTTAAAGCTGGGAGACAGATGGCAAGACTGTTATGCTGCACAGTAAACATAAAGATTCAGGTGACCTGAGATGTTTCACAAGATGTCAGGGATAGGGCTGGAGAACTAGCTCACTGGCAGAGTGCTCACCTAGAGTGAGACACTGGGTTTGAGACTGGTGTGGAGGAGAGTTACAAATCAAATGAAGGGATTTCTTTTAAGTACAAACCTGTTTTAGGCCATAAGGCATTGACTGCAATTTCACCTCTAAATTCTTCTGCCATTCCAAGCACACACATAGACATGCCATATTTGGCAATGGTGTAAGCTGAAAGAAACCACAAAGGATAACAATATCATTGAGAAATTAATCCTTCAGTAGAAACAACCACTTTCTGTTACTATTTTCTCCCTGGTAAATATTTGACAATTCTTTTCAAAATACAAAATTATAAGATAATTCTTTATGTAAATAAGAACGACTCTGAACTCCTGATTATCCTGCCTCAGTCTCTCAAGTACTAAGAGTATGGTTCACCACATCTGACCAAATATCCTGGGGTTGTTTGCTTGTTTTTAAATACTTTATTATTGTTAATTATGCATACATTTATGTGTGGGTATGTGCTATTGTGTGCCTGAGGAAACCACAGTTGTAGATGGCCCTGAGCTGGCATTACAGGCAGTTGTAGGCTGCCTGATGTGAGTGCCTGATCTACATGGTGAGTTCCAAGACAGCCAGAGCTACACAGTTACACCCTACCTCAAAAACAAAGCAAACAAAGAATGGATGTGATTATTTATAGAGAATGTTCCACTCACAACTCAACAAGTATGGTGTAGCTTAGTGGTAGAATATGTGCTTAGCATTTGTGAAGCCTGGATTTCAACTCCAGCACCACAAAACGGAAAGTAATTAGGGGCTGCTAAAATGGGCCAGTAGTTACGTGTACACTGTTCTGACAGAGGACCTGAGTTCAGTTCCCAGCACCCATGTCAGGCAGCTCACAACTGCCTGTGACTCCAGCTCAGGGATCTGATGCCTCTCTGGCTATTAAAGGCACCTGCACTCACATGCATACACTTACACAGACACACACACACACACACACACACACACACACACACACACACACTAAAAAATAAAGACTTCCAACTTACTTAACTTCATCACTTAGAATACAACTTTAGTCTTGCTCTGTGGGTTCCTACCCCAGTGCCTTCTTAAATGAGAGTGAATTAAACTAAGAACTAAATATTTGAGCCGGGTGTTGGTGGTGCATGCCTTTAATCCCAGCACTCAGGAGGCAGAGGCAGACTGATCTCTGTGAGTTCAAGGCCAGCCTGGTCTCCAGAGCGAGTCCCAGGATAGGCTCCAAAGCTACACAGAGAAACCCCCCGCAAAAAAAGAACTAAATATTTGATACTACTTTAAGTGAGGTACAATATATTCACCTTATATCACTCATTTGTTATGAAAAGTATTTTATAGCTATTTTCAACTAACTTTATTAATTAATAAATTACATGTAAACAATACACCTGCTGAGACATGAAAAATGGTGGAAATCCATATCATAACTTGAGTAGTTACACAGTATACATAACTGCCAAAATTCATTAAATCAAACCATTAAGACCTATGAATTCTGTCAAGTGCAAATTATACTTCAAACTTTTAGATTACAGATAAATGAATAGTGATTTACTATCTTGATCACTGGTAGCAGAAAATTCAATATTAAGTATTACATCCAGGTTGTGATTACATAATAAATACACTAATTCAAAACAAATTAGCCAAACAAACTATCCCCTCAGCTAACACTTACCACAGTGCTGTTTGAACCACAGAGGATTTAGGTTCAGGGGTGGGCTGAGATTAAGAATATGTGCTACTTTGCTCTTTCTTAAAAAAGGAATACATGCTTTGGATCTGAAAATGAAAGAAAACACAAGACAAGTTAATAGCTTATGTTTGAAAGTACTTCCTCAGAGCAACTGAAAATGTTTCAGAGATATGTCTAGTACACCTTGTTTGTAGAGTAACTTTGTTTTCTAGAATGAAGATAATACAAGGAACTGTTTTTCATGCTTTGAAACCATGCTTCCTGTACTGACCACAAGATCTGCTTGATGGAAAAAATCAAATCCTTTCTCTATTAGTTTTATGCTCAACTGAGGATATCTCCAACCACAACTGCCCCAAATTTTCCCACCCAAACACACACACAGAATTTCCAGAAGCAGTAAATATACCTGTTAGACAGTCATAGGTTCAAATCCTGCTTCTTTCCCTTTGTATGTCACTGAGTAAGTCAGCATTCTAGTTCTCAGGATGTCACTGTAAAATGGGTAATACTCACTACCATCTAGGACTGACCCAAGGATTCAAATGAGATACTTCAGACAGTGCATGTGCTCAACATGAAATAAAAAGTTGCTATGAGTGGCATCACATATGCTAGTTTAGTTTACCAATGAGTCTACCACAAGATCCAGCAATTCCACTCCTAGGCATATACCCAAAAGAAGCACATTCATATAACAAGGACATATGTTCAACCATGTTCATAGCAGCATTATTTGTAATAAACTGGAAGCAGCCTAGATGCCCCTCAACTGAAGAATGGATAGAGAAATTGTGGTACATTTACACAATGGAGTACTACTCAGCAGAAAAAAACAATGGAATCTTGAAATTTGCAGGAAAAAAGATGGAACTCAAAGAAACCATTCTGAGCAAGGTAACCCAATCACAAAAAGACAAACATGATATGTACTCACTCATATGTGGACCTGCTTTATGATACATAGTAGTGACCATGCTTTATCAGAGCTGTTTTTAATGATGTTGCTCAGAATGGTTTTCTCCCAGATGATGATTGCGAAGCTAATTTAAAAAAAAAAAAATGGTGCCAAGTACCACAAGAGTAACAAAACTGTGCTGTTTTCTGGGATTTTGTTTTCTACTTTTTTGATGTTGTTTATTTGTTTTTATGTTTTTTGTTTTTTGTTTTAAATGGAGTGCGCTGGATGTCTCTACAATTTTGTTCAAA